AAAAAATGTACAAATGGCATTTCCTTTCTACATTTGTATGGGGTTGTCACTAGCCTGGATATTGCTGTTTTATGTTCTTTAGATCTAATAGAATGGTCCAATCCTACAATCTAGTTTAATATTATAAAACTATCACAAAAAAATTTATATATGTTGATTCTCAATATTCCGTACCTCTTAAATTCTACTCTAACATATGCCCCGTCTATAAGAATATATAAACAAAATTTCATTTATGTTCATGTAAACCTAGGGTGTAGAAGATCATCTCTACTTTCTAATACAGGATCGTAAGATCTCTCGTACATTGTAATTAAAAACTATCTTATCATCTGTTTGACTGCATTTTTTTTTGCATTCTAAAGCATTTTCCCTTTTTGGAACAGTAGTATATTATTGAGGAAATTACAAAAAATGTCAACTTTCACACGATCTTTTGTAAAAATGTTCAAAATTTGTTCAATGTCCATTTTTGCAATATTTTAAACCAAAACACCCTTGTTAATAATTTATAATTCCACACTAAAAAAAAAAAGTGCATACAATTAAATATTTTGTTGACCAATAAAATTTTGACACATAAGCTACCCTGCTTATTTAAAAAGTACACATATCAAATAACAATAAAGACTATGGCCCCGTTTGTCTCTCATTATTTCAAAACATTATTTGCTATGGTAAGATTCTCCACTACACATTCACCCAATAAAATATTCTACACACAGACCAATAAAGTTACTTTAAATTTCAACCATACATTCTCCAAAAAATATTATTCATTACTCCATTTTTTCTACAATAATGGGAGACAAACACATTTCTCATTGACAAGGGTATACAATATTGAGAAATACATTTCAAATGTCAAGAACTTTATGAAACGTAGAGAACCCTCATATTTGGAATGAAATCTCGTTTTAGATATTGAAGTATTAAGAAAATACGGTTCAAATATCGATAACAAATTTTAAAAAATCGAAAACTTCATTTTAATGTAACTTCTCATGGAAGTTGTTTATTCTTCTCAAAATTCGTGACAAATTGAAAAAAACATGCTTCATTTTTCATTAAGGGTATAATAGACAATCTAATACTGAATTTGACCATTTTTGTAAGAGTTATCAAAATTAGATATTTTTTAATTGACGCTCTGGAATTAGCCATTTTTGTAAATTTCCCTATATTATTTTAAAATGAAAGTGACACGCCATAAATTGAAATAATGCACAACCACCCATTGAAATTTCAATTTCCCATTCCTGCCCTCAATGAAATACTACCAATTTACTAATTTACCCCTGTTTTTCCTCTATGCTCATGGCAATTGCAACAGAGGGCAATTTTGGAACAAATCAAAATACCAATAAAAAAGGGCTAGCGGGACAAATGAAAGTGATGTGAAATGATTGTATGGTGTGATAGTCGAACCCACACGCACGGTAGAAAAAATTAAATTGCGATGAAAAAATGGGAATCAAACAAGGACTTAATGATTCTAATTCAGATTTTCTCTTCTTATTGGTGGTGTGGGTTAGATTGTATAGACCCTCAACACAATCAGTTCACTTCAACATGTTCGTGTCGAGCTCAACTTCGTAACACCAAAATTTATATATATTAAAATTTTTAAATAAAAAATCTTATATAGGAAAAAAAAAATTTAATTTTTTGAAAAGTTTGGATATTTTATAAGCACATGGGCTTCTTTTCCATGTGTATGTGGAGCCACATAATTTGACGCCAAACCAACAAATGCTGATTCATTGTATTAATGTATCTTATCCACTACAGTTGCACACATTGACACGTCTCTTAAATTTTAGGCTATAATATGACTTGTAATGGAATAGATATAAGCAAAATGTTTATTTTCTAATAACCCCTTATGCAAAATAATAATTAATCATGATTAAGTTTCAAGGTTCAATATAATTTTTATTTTATTTCTTTATCAAGAATTTATTGAATTTATGTTTCAATTAAAGCGATGTCTCAACTCAACAAAAGTTGACTCAAACTTTGTCGATTCTTCTCCTCTTTGTCTTGGTATACTCACACTTACTATTAACTATTCTTTTGAAGATTTATATTAAAATTAGTAAAAACATGTTTGGTTTGTCATTTTGAAAAATTATTTCTCAAACCGTAAAATTAGAAAATATGTTTGGTTTGAAATTTTAAAAATTATTTTATAACATTTTATTCCATGAATTTGATTATTGAGTAAAAATAGAACAATTTTATGTTATTATATTATATAGTAATATATACATTTTAATGTTGGTAAATTTTAAAATATCTTTTCTCCATACAACAGTAAAATAAATAATAAATTGAGTTCAAAATATAGGAAATAAAAATAAAATTAATGACCTGAATTGAGAATATATTTTTATGTGTGTTTATTTAAATATATATTTTTAGAATCTTTATGAAAATAGTCATTAAGAGTTTGAACTATTTTTTATACATAATTTTTGTTTTCTAGAAGTTTTATAATTGAATTTTTTTTTATTTCTTAGAATTTTATTTCTTATTTTCCAAAATTTTTAAATTTATTTTTTACAATTTATCAATTTTATTTTTTTGAATTTATTTATGTTCAATTTTTATTTTTTAGAATTTAAAATTTAAAATTTTTTAAATTTTATTTAAATAATTATTTTCTATATATTGAGTGTTTTCAAAATTTTCACTAAAAATACTCAAAACTACGTTTAGAATTTTATGTTATAAGTTTATCCTTATTTTTGAAAATAAACTTTCAAAAATATTAGACAAATTATGTTTTCAGTTTTATACAAAATTCAAAATTGAAAACTGAAAATGACTTGAAAATAATAGACAAAATGTGCACTTAGTTTTTAAGAAAAATAACAGTATTTTCTCCCAAAATATGTGGATAATAAATAATTAGTCATTATAAATGTGTAATTGAAATTATTTTAATTCTTATCAAGTAAAAAAATTATTAATAACTTAAAAAAGAAAAAGAAAAAGAAAAAACAGAAACATAGGCTAAAACACCAGTACACCAGCTATAGTCCTTTTCTTTAAATAATTTGCTTCGCATGTTATTTTACAGTGTTCAAAATGGCACGCATGGGTAACGTCAATGCGCTAGACGTGGTGAAAACGTCTAATATAGAGCTTGATTGCTAAAAAAGCAGTCGCTTAAGGGGCGTCTTGGCGTTCTTTAGTATGCCCCTATTTGGTAGATATTAAAATAAGTTTTTTAGAAAATTTTTATAAAAGTTGATGAAATGTGTTGTTAAAAAATTGTGGATCTTATGAAATATGTGGTTAAAATTAATTATTAACTTTGACTTGAAATTTTAATTGAATTTTAATTTATACCAAAAAAGGGGCTATATATATATATATAAGGCTGGTATTGTATTGAATGATACATAGAACGAATTATATGAAAAAAAATGATATTGAATTGGAGTTCGATAAAGAGTTAATAAGACTCCATGCTATCTAAATTATGTAACTACAATTTTAAAACTTATATTTTTGTTGAAAACTTTGGAAAATGTATAAAGTTTCTATAAATCTAATTTAGATGTTTGGTACGTATTATTTTAATTATTAAATGATTTTTAGATTGATTAAAAATTTAAATTAATATTAAAATAAGAAAACTTTTTTTTTACTCTTGGATGTTGCCTAGATTCATCTTGCCCAAAACTTAACCTCCACGTATCGCCACATATTATAGTCTTTAAAACAAAGTTATTTTTCCCTATTTGATTCCATTTAATTTACTTTTTAATTTATTTTTCATATTCATTTTCAACCATGCTTTGATTCCATTAAGCTTCAATTTATTTTCAAAATTAATTTTCAACCATACATTCGAACAATAAAATATTTTACATATAAATCCAAAAAAAAAAAAAAAAATCATTTTTAATTATACATTCTTTAAAAATACTATTCAAAACATAAATTGTCTGAAACAAAGGCGGCTTTGTGGCCTTCTCATAAGCGTCTAGAAAGGGGAAGAATTGCAATAAGGGTGTGTTTGATAGCCACCCAATTCCAATGGATCCATTTTCATACTTTTTCATTGTTTGATAAACTTTTTTTGTCTAGGGAATTGGAATTCCCACTTTGCTTCACACGGTCACAAATTCCCTCAATTCCTTGAATTCATTTTTCCACCATTTTGGTGGGAAAGTCTTTTCCAGATTCTGCCTTTTTTTTTTTTTTAGCAATGTTAACAAATTTTATAGTCTATTATTAAAAAAAAAATTCACTTTAATGGACAATTTCCATATAAAACGAAACCAAACGAACACTAAACTTTGATGAAAAATTAGTTTCGAACAATTTTTTTTTTTTTTACTTTTTGACAATGTTAACAAATTTTATAACCAATTGTAAAAAAAAAAAAAATCATTTTAATTGACCATTTTCATGTAAAATAAAGCCAAAAAAATACAAAATTTTAAAATTTTTCGGGTGGAAAATTATACTAATTAAACACATTTAATTAACAATTCTCTACAAAACAATTTATAAACAATTATTTTCCCTAAAAATTATTTTATTTCCATCGATTTTTTATCGTTGCAATTAAACGGATCCTAAATTCAAAACTGTCCTGCTCTAAGCCGCCCCTTACAAAAGATTGTGCAAATAAAGTTGGAGTCTTGCAACTCTATCACCCCGTTTGTTTCCCATTATTTGAACACAAGAAGTTATATTTTTTTACCCTTTTTTTCAACACATGGGTCCCATTGTGGGAAGGTGCAGTCAAAAGTTGCTGCAGGTAAAAAAATCCGTCCCAAATATGTGTGTGGGCGTGTGTGTGAAAAGGCAAAGTCTTCCTTTTTATTGTTCTTGTATACGCTATTCCTTATCTATAAAAACAATACTGGGTTTCTATAAAATGAAAAAGAGAGGATCAAAATTTGGGTTTTGTTTTTGCAGCTTGGAGAGCTCCTCTTTTATACTTTCTAAATTCTTTTTTGTGGGCAGAAGAGAGGGAGATGGAGGTGATGTATTGTCAGCAAATGGGGAGTTCTTACAGTGAAACTTTGAAAGTTTTGGAGTCTGATATAAAGTATGCAAATGCTATGTAAGTTTTCAGGTTCAGAGCTCAATTTACTTTCTAATTTGTAGTCTAGAAAGAGTAATTTTGGTTTCTATGTATGACAATCTTAATTATCTTCATCATATAAAGAATCCTTCTTTTTAAAGGAATTTTAGACTACACCACCTCGATGATAATTTATCCCAATTTAGTCAAACGATCTTTGATTTTGTTTTCATTGTCAACGGTGGGTGGGGTGGGGGGTCTGGCCATGGCAGGGTGACTGTACAAGCAGTTGGGTGGGGGCTGCGCCGGCTGTGGTGGAGGCTGGGATGGGAAGCCGTGGTGTTAGGTGGACTACTTGGGGATAGGGAGGATGAAAATGAAATTTGGAGGGAAGGAGATGAATAAAAGGCGTCTGGTTATTATTATTATTATTTTTTTAAAGATTTATACAGGAATTGTAAAGTAATAAAGAAGCAATTCTGGGGTTTGACCTTGAGTGTTTTTGCCCCTTTTCTTAGAATTCTTCTGAATACTGGACAAGGTTAAGAATGAAATCGTGTTAATTATACTCGTCAATCCCTTCAAGTGCCACCATACATGCAATTAAGGTTCCATTTTGTAGGACATATTCTTGAAGGCACAATACTTGAATATGTTGTAAGAGGACGATCGATGTTCCATTTTATTGCAGCATTTTGATCGTTTTTCTGCTTTTCTAGAATTATCCTAAAATGAGGTTACATACATTGTCATGTGTGCTTTATGGTGGAACTAATGGTCTTTAAGCTGGTTCTAGTTTTTGTATAATGAAATCAAGTTATGGAAATGAATAAATTAACAATTTGTTTGCTGATTATTTGTGTTAATTACTTATTTTACAGGGCTGCGGCAATTCCGAAAGCTAAGGATGGTGCACAACTTCAAATGAAATTGGTTTACAATCAATTGGCACCTCACTTTTTGTTTTTGCTTCAATGGATGGATTGTTCCTGCATGTGCTTTTTCCCTAGATATTTCAATTTTTTCCACGTACTTATTTACAAGGTCCAGTTTTTGTTTTCCTTTCGTTCTGAGGTTATGCATTGTTGGATAGTTATAGACCAAATAATCGAAGAATTATTGGTTTAGTTTCGTCTGTAATTTGTTTCAACTTTTTGAATTGATGAGATATCTATTGTGATACAGGTATATACAGACGGAAGGCCAAAAATATCGACTCGTGGAAGGAAAGCAACTATTAGAGACTTTTATGGTTCGTTGGTTAATCATTCTATTTACTTTAGAGAAAGATGAATTCCATTTTTAACTTGTGCAATTATTCTTAGTAAGTGCTTAAAAATGGTGACAAAATTGCAGCTGTCATATTGCCATCACTTCAACGACTCCAGAGTGACTTTGTAGAGCTGGGTAGTACTGGACATGATGATCCTCGTCTGAAAAGCATTGGCAAGAAGAGGCTAGCAGATGGCGGGTTTTCCAACTTCGATTCGCGAAGAGATGAAGAATGTGGGATATGCTTAGAGCCTTGCACCAAGATGGTCTTGCCTAATTGCTGCCATGAAATGTGCATAAACTGCTATCGCGATTGGTAAATAGCATGATATCTGTGTTGGTGTGCATATTTTTCCCGGGAAATTTGCATTGTTGGTTCCTAATCTATCACTCTAGTAGCAAGTTGGTCTTTAACTTTTCATTATGGTTGCAGAGTCAGTTCAAAACTGTCCAAAATTTCTGTTAAATTGTCTAAAGACCCTCACTTCTCCAACTTCATGAATCATGAAGCTAGGTTTTGTTTCTCAATTTAGGTTGGCATTTAGAAATTTGAAGTGAGGTGTGTCTTCACGAGGGCAGATGACAATTTAACAAAAAACTGGATAGTTTTCTCCGTTAAGGACTGATTTGTGCAATAATAACAAAACGTTGAGGGTTAACCCGCTCCTTTTCAGTGGTTGGAAACCAACTTGCTACTGCAGTGAGAGGTTGACGGGCAATAGGTTGGGAACCAATGGTGCATTTCCAATATTTTCGTTATTGATAATCAGTATTAAAGTAAAATTTCTATTTGTTGATTGCCTAAGTTTTGTTTCCTTTGTAACTTTTAGGAGTACAAGATCGGAGTCGTGTCCATTTTGTCGTGGTGGCATAAGAAGAGTAGAGTCAAGAGACCTATGGGTTCTTACATGCAATGATGATGTGGTTGACGCTGACACTGTTTCTAGAGAGGACGTGTTGCATTTCTACCTATATATCAGTGGCCTGCCTAAAGATTCCCCTGATACCCTGTTCTTAATGTATTACGAATATTTAATATGATGAGAAATAAAATTGGTGTACAGAGAGAAGAAGCTGATTTTTAAATGTAAATAAGGGAAAATTCTCAGATTGACACAGAATAAACCCCATATTTTCTTTATGTGGTTATCTGTAGAATACCTGTAATTATTAAAAGCTGAAATTATTACCAGAACTTGTGTTTCCAGTTGCTCTTTTATAATAATATATCAATATCTTGCTCTTTGGACGAATTGATCTGGCACTGTAAACCCATCAGGCTATGGTTGACATGCAGGTTCCATATGTTCATTTTGCTAATGATCAGCTTATCAAAATGAAGGTCGGCAGAATCCCCAATCGAGAAAGTGATTAGCCAAGTTCTTGTCCATTGCATCTGTGAAGTGGATGCCCTCCTATTTTATGCTTTTCCTCGGTTCCTTGTGCATAGATGCTCAGGGTAGCCACACAAGAGCTGCAAGTTGAAGTCGAGTTGTGCTTCAACAAATTTCGAGCATCCTTAAAAGGTTTGTCAATCTGGTACTTTTTGTTGGACTCGTTAAAATTGTTAGCTATGCATATCCAGTTTTCGAAATTTTTTGACTTCAAGTGTTCTTTTTTACTTTTAATTTTTGTTTGCCTCACTCTTCACCACTCTTCAGAGTGATATTGAATGCTTCAAAGTGATTTTTCTCATCCATTTCTGCGTATGGGGACATACAGCTGAATGAAAAACGCCAAATCTTGTTTCCAGTAAATTTGGAAATTATACATGCGTTCACTTTTGTCAGTCAATTCAATTGATCGCTAACTCAAATGAAAGATAATGAAATCACATCATTTACAATTACTTCATAACTTATTCTTTTCTAACCAGTTCTGTGGAGATCATGATATTCTTGTGGATGACGGTTACCCTGGATCTATGCAAAGACATACGGGGAATTTTGTAGTTACATTTTTAACTGAAATGAGATTGTAATGCGATCTTACATTTTTATAATTTCACTGAGGTTTTTCTAACATAGCATGATCAATGGAGTTTTTGTCGCACATTTTCTAAAAATGATCCCCATTGAATGTAATGGTTCCTTTTTATTCGTCACTTTTTGGTTGAAAAGAGAACTTGAATTGAAGTGCTGATAGCCTGAATCTGATAACCATTAATGAAGATTGTACCAGATTTTCTTTATTCTTTATTTGCTTTGACAGTCAGCCTTGTAATATATTTAAATATCAGTAAGACTTCACTGTAACAGGCATACTTGAGCAGCAGTGTTGAAAGCAACAATGAGGTCGTCTGCAATTGTTGCCGTGTTAGTTCTTATGGCTATGATCAACATTGATGGATGCCATGATCGTCTACCATTGATCATCAATCCTCGGGACTTCCCAACATCCATAAATGTTATCATAAACCATACTACATTCTCTCTCTCTCCCCACAATCGAGCACACACACAAGCCACTGCTCATGGTGACTCTGTATTCTCCCATATAAATGAGAATTGGATTTGTTTGTCCTACATATGATAAGAGTTGGTTGGTTCATCCCGTGGTGAAAGAAGAAAACTTAGTCAACCTATTTGTTCTATAGGGGCCCCATCAGGCATTAATGCTTTATTTCTCCCCCAGTTTTTAACGTTGTCAACAAAGATTGTACAACTAGCGTTAGTCGTTATAGAATATATTTCGATGAGACTTGAAATCCTTTGTAGTCTCTTTTTGGTTGTGCTTATTGTACACTTTTGGTATATAATCTTGTAGTATGCATTTGTTGGGTTTCCGCCTTTCCTGTCAAAATGCTAACTTGAGAAAACCCTTCTTTTTTTTTTTCTTCTCTCTTTTACCGTGGACTACACCTTTGAGATTACTTTCTTCCAACAAAAATGCTTCATCGAAAATGGTACTTTGCTTGAATGTACAACATGCACCATCAATTGCCCTTACTCAGTGTTGTTACTGCAACAGAAAGATCCCCCGGTTTGCGAAAAATGCTGTTCTCCACTGAAATTCTGAGGAGTATGCCATTGCGTGTGGGTGAAGAATGAGAGAAACAATTATATGTTAAAAGTTGACTGGTAATAAATTATAGGTTAAGGGCTCTAATAAAATGTTACATCTGTAATTATAACATCAGCCTTTTGCCGTTAATTTTCGAATTTGGGGCATAATGAGCATGTTTGAAAGTTTGTAGATCAAAAGCATGAATTGTTAATAATTTAGGGACTTTTTGCAATTATTAAGGCCCTGTTCTCTTTACCGTTTTCGAGCCATTTTCTGTTTTCGATTTTTTAAAACAATGAAAATGCGTTATCTTTTCTATTTTCGAAAACGTGGTTTTGAAAATGGAAAAAAATTTTGCACTGGAAACAAAAAATGACCAAAATCGCGCTTTGGTCATTTTGAAGCCAAAACACGGTACTTTCAAAAAACACGGGAAACAACTTCAGCCTTTTCCTCTCTCTCCCATCTTGGCTCATTTTCCATTTCCGATCTTAGGTACCCACAATCCAAACCTTCCACTGATTTTCCATTTCCAATCTCAGGTACCCACAACCCAGAAAGATCCCTCAATTCTTTCTAAGGTACAGTCCTCGATTCTCTGTTCTTTTTCTTCCGTCTCTATGGATACAAGCTTGTGTGTGTTGATAGTAGTAATTGTTTGGGTTTGTTTACCTGTGCCTGTATGTCTTGGTTTCTTGCCTTTATTTTTCCCCCTTTTCCAATTTCCAATTTTTTTCTTTCTTTTTCCTTTAATGGTCTAAATGTGGCAAAAGGGTTGTCAAGAAATAGCTCATGAGAATTCTAGTTTTAGTTATTGATCAGTGAATTCTTTTCTAAAAATTCTTGGAATTAAGAGTCTGGAAAAGTGATTGGGGGACGGAAAGATTGAAATGAAACAAAACAAGGAAAGGGTTGAAGCAATTTGATAATATATGAATACTTAGTGATGCCAAATCTGGGGCCATAGAGTTCTGACCTTGAAACTACAAATAGATAGACTGAATACTATTCAAGTTTCATTTGTTTTTTAATTGTAATTTATGTTCTTCGATTTCTTGTTTTTTCTTCGAATTTTTGTTGGGTTCGTTTGATCTATTTCGGTTTGCTGGGTTCTTCATGTTTCTGGCTTCTTCAAGTATAATTATGTGATTTCATTGGTTACTGCAGGATACTAGATTTCATCACTATCTTGATTGAGAGTAATTTGTTTAACATGTGATCATCTAAGGATTTTTTAAGATGGAAATTTTGCATATCAGAGAAAAGATATTGACATGAGTGCATCAAAACTGTGTCATTGATGCACAGAGTAGTTTTCTGATGAAAAATGCTTGTAGTTTGTAGCATAAGATATGCTTAGGGAACCACTAAAAGTAATTATACTGCATTTTTGCTCCTCCTTGTCTTCACACAATGAGTAGGCTGGATTTCTCTGGAAATTGTATGTGAAGAAAAGAAAATAGCTTGATGCAAGGCCGCCAAGTGTAACTTATGCTTGAAAGGCAACTTTCTAGTCCAATCTTTCTCCGCAAGTGTAGCTTAATTAATCAATGCACACATGTGCATATTTTAATACATCGTGTCCATTATTCAATGAATTCAGAATTATGGTTTAAGCGGCTCAGTCATATATACATTATACATAGATTAGATGGGCCAAACTTTTAGGGCTAGAAAGTATGTGGGATTGCTTTGTGTGGCTCTGCTAAACCACTGAGTAATTAAGTGAGGAAATATTGATTTTAATAGGATTTTCAAAGGTGATGTTGAACATGGTATTAGCCTATTAGGCATAACAATGTGTTAGTTTCATATTGCATTGCTTGTTTTAAAATAAAAGATGGCTGGGCAATTACTGTCCTAGGACTGAACATGTTATTTGCATAAAAAGGCTTCCATCGATTTATAAACGGTGGACTCGTGTTTGTCTGTGAAGTTTCAGGACCTTAGCAATGGCATTTCAGCTAGGATTTAGTTGTCAGATTATGACGATTCAAGCATTTGAGTACGGGGCAATTATCTCACTTTAAGGACAGATTGTTCTTTTTCTTGTTGATTAATTATATTGACATGAGTGCATCAAAACTATGTCATTGATGCACAGAGAAGTTTTCTGATGAAAAATGCTTGTAGTTTGTAGCATAAGATATGCTTAGGGAACCACTTAAAGTAATTATACTGCTTTTTTGCTCCTTGTTGTCTTCACACAATGAGTAGGCAGGATTTCTCTGGAAATTGTATGTGAAGAAAAGAAAATAGCTTGATGCAAGGCCGCCATATGTAGCTTATGCTTGAAAGGCAACTTTCTAGTCCAATCTTTCTCCGCAAGTGTAGCTTAATTAATCAATGCACACGTGCATATTTTAATACGTCGTGTCCATTACTCAATAGAATTCAGAATTCTGGTTTAAGCGGTTCAGTCATATATAGATTATACATAGATTAGATGGGCCAAACTTTTAGGGCTAGAAAGTATGTGGGATTGCTTCGTGTGGCTCTGCTTAACCACTGAGTAATTAAGTGAGGAAATATTGATTTTAATAGGATTTTCAAAGGTGATGTTGAACATGGTATTAGCCTATTAGGCATAACAATGCGTTAGTTTCGTATTGCATTGCTTGTTTTAAAATAAAAGATGGCTGGGCAATTACTGTCCTAGGACTGAACATATTATTTGCATAAAAAGGCTTCCATCGATTTATAAACAGTGGACTCGCGTTTGTCTGTGAAGGTTCAGGACCTTAGCAATGGCATTTCAGCTAGGATTTAGTAGTCAGATTATAACGATTCAAGCATTTGAGTACGGGGCAATTATCTAGCTTTAAGGACAGATTGTTCTTTTTCTTGTTGATTAATAAACAGGAGTTGCACTATACATTTGATAAGTTGTGACTTTGATCCCACATAATTAATGCATCTCCATTAATTCTTGTTACTGATAATAGCATATTAATATTTTTTTTCTTTCATTGACTCCTTGAAAGGATTTAATCTGTTTATAGTTTGACAAAAGAAGCACATATATTTGACAGATTTTGCACATCTCTTTGTATTTTCATCAGGACAACAATAATGAGGTCTATTACATTACAGGTTATGTACCTGAAATAAAAATTTTCTGTTGACTGCATGATTGGGCTATTGGACATAGTGCATACCCACCAGGATCTCATATTGTCAAAAGTTGATAGCTCACTTAGTGGCAGCAGCACTCATGGTAATCCATTAATTGATTTTAAGTATGTCTTATACCGATTTTTTCTTCGTCTAATCTGAAATCTTTTCTTCCCCCATTGATTTCCCCCTTGACATGATTGTTTTGTTAGGGGTTATGGTTTTGGTATCTCGTCTCTTGGATATAATGTGCCAGAGTTGCAACATTAAGAGAAAAAAGAGAGTAGGATCAGCCAGATGAGTCATTAGTTTTAACTGGTGCCTCCATTCAGCAAGTGCTTCAAGTACCTCTACAGCAGCATGCTGCTGCCATTTTCCAAAAGTTTGTTCAAGTAAGACGAGAATCTTGCCTTCTTTATTAGTTTTTTTGTTCGATCTTGTTTATATCGGCTTTCTGTAGACGAGAATTCTGAAGATGCTTCTACAAAATTTGAAAGGCAACTTTCTCTGTTATTTCATGAGTAAACTAGTTGGGATTTGATTAATGTATTGCAAAGTTGTAATAGCAAATTCAGTATTAGATTCCTTACCATCGTTGATTCACATTCTTGCTTAGGATGGTAAAACATAAAATTTTCATATATTTAATTAAATGAGCTTTAGATATTTTTTGAATCATTGGAAAGGATATTAGTAGTACGAGAATAATATAGTATATGANGTGTTGGAACGAAAATATCATAATTATAATATTTTTAACTTTTTAACTTTCATCAACATTTTTGTGATTGTCGTAAGACATTCCTATATATGCGTTATGTGGAATAGACTCTCTTTCAGCTTGACAAGAACGGCGTCACATTCCTATATATGCATTATGTGGAATAGACTCTCTTTAAGCTTGACAAGAACGGCGTCACAAGGAAGGCTATAGGGAAGAGCTTGCGTTGAATTAAATTTTTTTAATACTAGGCTGATATGTAAAAAGAAAAAAAAAAATTCAAGAAAAAATTCCGATAATTTTTTTTTCAAGAAAAAAATTAAATTCAAATCTGCTAAACTACATTGAAAGATGTTTTTGATTAATTCTTGTGCTCGAGCAGTGGCAGGGTCCAAGTCAGGTTCAGGAGTAGTTACTTCCCTCGTGATACTTTTCTATAATCTCGATTTCCTACATATGTTTNGTTATTCCATATATTGTCAACTTCAATCATGTTTCGCCTCTGATTTTTTAGTTTGTTTGGTGTCAAATAATTTCATTCATGAAGTGGAGTACAGATGAAACCAATTCTATTAACATGTCAACTTAAGATTAGTGCTCCCTTTTTTTGCAACTTGATTTGGTTTGATTGTGAATTGATTCTAATTAATTATTGGCACATGTTACGTACAAGGACAAAAATAAGGACTTGCCAAATTTAATTTCGATTGTGTTTTCTATATCTGAAAAAAAATATTTCAAAATTCACCAATTTCAAAATTTATATGTTATTTAATACTATATTAATATTAAACTATCAAAATTTATTGAATAACTAGATTTCTTGAATAAAATATTATAAAAAAAATTATTCTCAAAATTTCAAAGTAAATGCGTTTTCTATTTGTATGTTTTGAGAAACAGTTTTTCAGAATGACAAAAAAAATGCAGTTTCAACAATTTTAAAACAGACACTCAAAACACAAAATGAATTCAAAACTCAAAACTGAAACGCAAAAAGAACAGCCCCTAAATTGCAGATTCTCTGGGCCCATGAACGAGTATCATCTTTTATCGTTACATTTAAGTATATATTTATTTTTTAATAGAATTATTTTTATTTTGATAGATATGATTTTATTTAAAAAGACTTGGACAAGGGGGACGTTAGGACTCCGATCTAGACAAAGTTGAACTACGAATATTTTTTATGCAATGAAATATTATAATAACGTCAAAAATTTGTTCCATTCAAGACGAACAAAGTTATGAGCATATGTAAAAAAAACTATTAAAAAAAAATTAAAATTTTTTACGCTTTTGGCATCAAATCTATCATTTATATGTTAAATTATACATATGGTACATATAATCAAGGTACATGACAATGCTTTTTGATCGAACATCAAGTATTATACGAATATGTGTGCCTGTGCGAAGCATATATTTAATGATGTGTTTTTCAATTTTTAAAATTATTTTAAATATTCTAAACTAATAAATAAATAAATAAAATAACGAATTCTTGAACTTTATAAATATTATTCAAATTTTTCGGAAAAAAAAATCCTCAAAATCATAAATAGTACAATTACTTGAACTTTATATATTCTTCAAATTTTTAACAAAAAACAGAAAAAAAAAAACATAATTTCGAAATTGTAAATACTACAATTATTTAATAATAAATTTCAACAATTAGATTAGAGATGAACATCTTGTTGACCTATAATTAATTTGAAATCTCAAAGTTTTGATTATAACAAACAAGTTGGTCTTATTTGCTAACGAGTTGATTTGAAGTTAGTACAGTCTTTCAAACATGTACAAAGGAAAATTGATCAATGGTCAAAAGCTATCATCACAAATCAGAATCTTAAAAGAAGTCAAGATCGAAGTTACATTCAAGGTATGAAGAGCCAAACTTCGAAGCAAGATAGATACTCGTTTCTTAGCTAAGAATATAAAGGTACTAAAACTTTTGATATATGGCATGAATGTCAATAAGCTCAAAACCGTTCATTGCTTTAAAAACAATTTGGTGCATTAAAATGCGATGCTTTGATCAAGTGAAAAATGAATTTAAAAAAATAACCCTTGGACTTGTAAAATATTTTTATCTTGAAAAGTTTGTGTAAAATGCTCTCCAAAAGATCATATTTTTTTGAAAAACTCTCAAAGCAGAATAAACAATGCATAAAGAGAGGCCAAACTGACTGGGTCAACTGGCGGCTAGCTTGGCGGTCGACTGGCCGGCCCAACGGTCAATCTGGGCGATCAATCGGACGTCTCCAACGGTCAGATTTTTTACTGTTCTGATTTTTGATTTTTTCTGTACAAACGGTCATATTGGTCATTCGAAAATTGACGGTCGATCGGACCAATCATCCGGTTTGACAGAAAATTTGAAAATTTTCAACTCTATAAATATCAACTCACTTGTCATTTATTATAAGAACTAGAGAGCATTCAATTGAGATTCTTGTGAGCTAAAATTGCATTGATTTTTTTATCTTATTTTTTAGTATCAAATTATTCTTGTTTTGAAAAACTTTTGGTTGATCTCAAATTTGAAAATCATTTCATTAATCAATGTTTTTCAAATCTAACTCTTGGGCTTTATTCATTGTTATATATTGAAGAGTTAGCCTACTTCTCTTCTTGTACTTAACTTTGAATTTATAATTCATTAAGAAGAGAATATTTCATTTGTAAATTCATCTGAATTGTGGGTCATGTTGAGGTTCTGGAAAGCTCAACGTTGTAAGAGGACCGGTGCTCCTTGTTTGTAAATCACCAAAAGTTTTGTAAATGGTTGGATTGCATCATGAGTCAATCAATATAGTGAAAAATGTTTTATTCGTGACGGAGAGCTTGGTAACGGGGGACATAGATCGTGTTTGGGATCGAACCTCCACAACAACATCATTTGCATTCTCTTACCTTTTTACTTACCGTCTTTATATTGCTCAAAGTGCTCGTGTTTAATTATCTTTGTATTTGTGCACATTTGTTGAATTGATATAATTGCTAGTATATTGTTTAAAACTTGAATTCAGAAAAAGTTTTAAAAACCAATTCACCCCCATCTTGGTTAGCTATTCTTGGGCTTTCAATTGGTATCGGAGTGAGGTACTCTTTTTCAAAGATTTAACAATCTTGAGTAATGGCTAACCCAATATTTCAAAATCATGAGGGGCATTCCACAAATCAACCTCCCTTCTTTAATGACACACACTATAATTATTGAATAGTTAGGATGATGATTTACATTCAATCAATTGATTATAACATTTGGGAAGTTGTTGAGCATGGTCCTTATAAGCCTACCAAGACCATTAAGATAGATGGTCAACCCGATCAAACTATCCCCAAACCTAGAGAAAAGTACGATGAAGAAGACAAAAGAAAATTATCCTTAAATGCCAAAACTAAGAATTTACTATATTGTGCATTAGATAAAAATGAATTTAATCGCACTAGTACTTGTGAATCCGCATATGATGTTTGGCATGCACTTGAAATTACTCATGTTAGCACTAGTAATGTTAAAGAAACAAAAATTAATATGTTAGTCAAGGAATTTGAAAATTTCTTTATGAAATAAGATGAATCTATTTTGATATGATTACTCATTTTATCGATATTGTAAATTGCCTAAAAGGATTCGATCATAAATTTACTAATGGTGAACTAGTGAGCAAAATACTTAGGCCGCTCTTGGAGAAATGGAGCCCTTTAAGGATGTTGCTAGAGAACACCAAGGATGTGAACACATATCCCTTGGAAGAGTTCTATGGACGATTGATGACCTATGAGCTTAACAGTGCCGAAATCAAGGAGAAAACAAAAAGGAACAAAGAAGAATCAAAGGAGGTTCCTAAGCGCCAAATTGCTCTAAAATCTGCAATTGATGAGGGAACAACAAGTAACAACATGAATGATGAAGAGCTCGATGATTTAGTTCTTCTTGTCAAGAAATGGAGAGAGTTTAGAAACAATCGAAACTTTCAAAAGAAAGAAAACAAGAATGAAGAAAGATGTATGAAAATCATTTGCTATGATTGTGACAAACCCGGCCACAAAAGAATCGAGTGTCCAAATAAAAAGAAAAATTTCAAGAAAAAAGCATTTCAAGCTACATGGGATGAAAGCGATGATGATGATCACGATGAAGATGAAAGCCAATAAGAAATCACCAACATGTGATTCATGGCAATAAATGATGGGGTAAAATCTATGGAACAATTTTCATATGACGATTTATCTTTCTCCTATGATGAGATTTTAGA